CCAGCAGGTGCGCATGATTGGAGCTGGGACCATTTTAGATAACTTTCTGCCACACCAGCTAATACACTCTTACAAAGGACAACTGCAGAAGTAACTTAAGGGATGTGGGGAGTTTCACATCAATTCTGAGGAAAGCTTTTCGTGAGTATTAGGAGGCATGTGGAAAGATGTCCATGCAGTATTGTTTTCAGTAAGAACAACAAGACACTCACCAGTGGAAGCATTGCTAGATAACTCATGACATAATGAGCTCTTCAGCACTGAAAGAGGATGTGGTAAGGCCAAGACATATTATCCAGTGAGAAAACAAAGTGTAGAACTATTCCTGGAATGTCATGTCATTTAAAGCCCAACGAATAACATTACAGCCTTCAATATTATATTTACACAATATCTGCATACGTAGAAAAAATATCTGAAAACTACCTCATCTAACCAATGACAGTGGTCATGTGTGGGGGCATTAAAAGAAGCTCAGAGATTTGAGTGTGGTAGTCAGAAAGGAGCCTTTGCCCTTATTTGGGAAGCCAGTTAGCACCATAGATTCTGGAAGACAAACTACTTGCATTCAAATCCTGGCTCTGCAGCTTAGGCGGTAGCTGTGTGACTCTGGGCAAAATACTTAACCCCTTGGAATCTCCGCATCTTTATCTAACAAAGAAGGCTGATGATATTGTCTATCTCAGGCACTGTACTTTCGGGAGGTTCAAATACAGTGGGTCCTTGATACACCAACTTGATTCTTTCCACAGTTCTGGTCAACAACTAAGTGGAATGAGAACCAAACCAAATGCAATCAATGGTCAGGCTCCATGTGGACCTTGTGGGGTCCAATACATTGGCTTCATTTCTCCTCCAGCTCAGTTTGCAACCAGAATTGTGAAGGGAATTATGTTTGTGTACTGAGGTAGCACTGTACCATGATATGTACACAGTTTTCAACAGAGCTTTGGGTACATCTAGCAGTGTTCTGGAGCCAGCCCACCCCAGCTCCTGTGAACTAGGTGTGAGCATCCCCTTTCCATCCACTTCCAAGAACATCAGATGGTAGCACAAAATCCCCAGTGTGAACATGTCCACCATGGGCATCAGCAAGTACCAATCATGGAGGCATTTAAAAACCCAGTTATGAAACATTTTTAGCACCTTCCCAGCACATCATAAGCACTCAACAAGTACTAACTATTATTATCTGTAATGCTCTGATTTTCAGAAGGAGGATGACTTATCTATCATTTGTGTAATTAAGAAATGTTTGGATGTGTCATTGTGTGAACAAGGAACTGGGCAGCTTTGTGGGAAAGGGAGCCCCGGTGGGGGCTGGTGCCATGCTAGACCAGCAATGCCCTCCGAGATGAGCACAGTTACCTTGGAGAGTGGGAGGAAGGGGGCTGGAGTGTGGCTTGGCTCACTTCAGGTGGTGACTCATGGCCTACACACACCCTGAGCTTCAGGATGTGGGCTGGAATGAGTGGGCTTCAGCATTTCTCTTCTCCATCCTGTTGAAAACTCAACTGCTAACATGCATCTTTGCCTGTCAGTTTCAGGAGAGCCCTAGACGGAGAGTCTTGGGCGGAAGCTCTACCTGTGTGTCCCTTCTGTGAGCAACAGGTCACCTGGGCCCCTATTAAGTCTTAACATTCCAATAAACATTATGACAATAAAATGGAGCAGGGTGGAATGACAATTTCTTTGTTGAGTTTCTCAGGAAAATTTGGTAAACTCTTTCCAGTAATTTTTTTAGTGAACTAGAATAAAACAAAATCTTATATGATTAAATGGCACAGTAAAGAATGGGACAGGATTGGACAGGATAGAAAATATCAAAATACATCACACAAATTAAGAATAGTTTAATTAAAAGTTTACTTGAGTTATGTGTGTGTCTTTCTATATATGTATGGGAGGAGGTTCAAAGTAAAAGGTACATCTCCTGTGTCAGTCAAGAAAGTTTTAGTCATTATTTAGGTATGTCAGGGGCCTGGGAGATGGCTCAGTGGAATAAACGCTTCCCTGGCAAGCTCAAGGGCCTGAGTTCAATCCCCAGTTCTGCAAAAAAAAAAAAAAAATAGGTATGTCTTCCCACACTAAAGTAGTTGGTAACTAGAAACTACATTTTTCTGACTCCCTTGCAGCTAGGATTCCAGTGTAATTCAGGTTCTGCCAATTGGATGCATCTGTGTGAGACAAGGAACCTGAAAGCAAGCAGAGACTTAATTTCTGCTATTACTATCTGAGTTGCAAGCTGAGTCCTCAGAGTCTGCTACTTACTACATGTGGTCCTGTGGGCTACATAGCATCCTGCACATAGACTGGGTAAAGTAATTTACTTAGAGTGCGATGTAGACGGCATATCCCTAGAATGAGCAATGCAGCAGCCTTTCTGGAGACCCTAGTGGGCTACAGAAACAGAAATCTCAGGGGCCGGCTGTAGCTCAGGCACTTAAGAGACTGAGCTGGAGTGTCCACATGCCACTCAGCTCACCTTGCCTGGGCAGCATGGTGCTGGTTGTTGTGAGGTCTTCCCCACACATGGACACAGCCAAGACTACACACCCTTAGGGCCAACACTTTGTATTGTATCTTCCTGATTTTGTACCTTTCTGATGTTAGCAGAGGACAGATTGCTACTGGGTTAGCTCTGAGGTCCTTTCTTCTAGACCTGAAAGTATCTAATTTTCTGTATTAGAACCTCCATGATTTAAAATGTCTACAGTAATTTCCTTTACTGGTGTATCAATCAATTTTACTAGAGGTACAGATGTAACCCAAGATGTACAGATGTAGAGGAAATTCCAAGATTGGCTTACAATGGTCGGCCACAGGGTCGGATGAGGAAGCATGCAGAGTGCATCTGCATACTGGACATTGAAGGATTCATATCAAGGTCTGGAGTGTAATGGGTTAAAATCAATGTGGCTCTTGTTATTTTTTTATTAGGAAAATCTGGCAGGGACATCTAGCTCTTTGAGCGTCACTTTCTGGCTCAAGTGCAGATCCTTCAGCCTGCTAGTGTTGTACACAGCTGATGTGTTTCCACCTTAACTTTATCTTGTGCTTAATAGGCCCCATCTGGGGCAAGTTCCGCTTATTGCTCAAAACCGTGAAAACCTTCTAGTTGTAAGCAGCTAGTAGCTGTCTCAACAAGGCTTGCTCTAAAGGACTGAGCTCAGTTCTGTTCAGGGCAGCTGGTTAGAGCCTCCCTGCATGGAGTGCAGCTGGCTAGCTGCCAGGCTGGCTAATATAGGTTCGCCAAATTCCAATCTGTTCTGGTGTCAGTCTCAATTCGATTAGAACCCGGTACATGGAGCCACTGCAGTGTTCTGTGCAAGTCCATATTAGGAGGCCAGTGGATCTATGATGGAAGGCTGATGAGTCTACACCAGAAGGCTGAAGGATCCAAAGCAGAAGCCAAGAGTGCGCGCTACAGCCAGGAGATGACATCCAAGCTGATGGTGAAAACCGGAGCTCCTCAGAGGAAGAATGGGACCTTCCATCCTTCCTCATTCTCCCTTAAGTGATGAGTCATTCTAGGGTGTGACCTTCACACCTTAGGGTGTGGAATTGCTGAGCCAATTTAGTTAAGCTCTTAGCTCCTCAAGTTGACACAATCAATCAACCACTGCAACTAGTAATTAAACTTTGGGTGACAGGGCATGTATAGTAAGTCATTTGTGTCACTGGGACAAATTATCTGACCTCCACAACTCATAGGAGGAGAGGTTTAATTTGACTGATGGTGTCAGGGAATCCAATCCATAGCTAGCTGGCTCTGAAGTAGAAACAGAATGGTGGAGGAAAGCTGCTCTACCATGACAGACAGGGAGCTGGGACAGAGGAGGATGGAGCCAGGCCAAGAACAAACCCCTCCAAGCCCCACTCCCTGAGACTCACTGCCAACCAGGCTCCAGGGCCTAACAGCACCGTTAGCTGTCATCCCCTGTGAGTTCAGTGTCCCATGCTTCGATCATTATCTCTGAAGACCCACTAACTACATGAGACGTGAGGCATTCTGGATCTAAGCCCTCAAATTGGCCCATGTTAGTTCTTTTCAAGTTAGAGCAACTTAGAGTTTCAGATTTCTTTTCAGTTTCTTATTTACCCCTGGCTCAGATTATGCACACAGG